ATGCCATTCTACATCAAGATGAAGTTCAATCAACAAGACATCAAGTTGCCTGTAATTAACTTTGACCTATCATGAGACACAAATATCAAACGTCACGGACAACTCTTACCTAATAGTGTCTGTGGTGTTATTTGTGGCCCATCAAATTGTGGAAAGACAAACACTCTTTTAGCACTTATTGTACATCCAAATGGCCTACGATTTGGAAATATTTATTTGTATTCAAAATCATTTAACCAACCTAAATATCAGTTTTTAAAAAAAATAATTGAACCAAATTAAGGTATTAAACTTTATGCTTTTAATGAGCATGAGGAAGTGGTAAAACCGGATGAAGCAAAACCCAACTCAATTATGATTTTCGATGACGTAGCATGCGAAAAACAAGATAATATGCGAACCTATTTTCGTATGGGACGACATAGAGATATTGACTGCTTCTATCTTTGTCAAACTTATGCACGAATTCCTAAACATTTGGTGCGTGACAATACAAACTTTTTTGTACTTTTCAGGCAAGATGACATGAATCTAAAACACATTTACGATGATCATGTAAATACTGACATGACTTATTCTCATTTTCGAGATACATGTTTAATGTGCTGGAATAATGATAAATATGGCTTCTTGGTAATTGATAAAGACAGTGATCTTAATAATGGGCGACATAGAAGAGGATTTGATTGCTTCATAAGTATAAATTCACCGTGAATACATTAAATTGTACATTATGTATGTGATTGTCAAAGTGTCGACATGAAAACGACGAAGTTGCAACAAGAACAAAAAATATTGCATCAAATAGCAAAAGCTAGTGATGCAATACGCCAAAAGCATGAGTTGATTAAACTTGGAAGAGATATGACTCAACAAACCATGAGAGAAATATTTAAACCTATGGTGACTTCTATCAAACAATTAGCTGATAAACGTTCATTAAAAAGGAATCTTAAGAAATAAAAATAAAGAAAGAAGAACCTAAAGAAAAAGTTAAAAGCAAGCAAGAAAGCCTCGCGCCTGATTATCAAATAACTGATAATGAATCTTATACAACAGCAACAATAACCTTTTAAAGTACTCCGATTAAAGACATGTCTGTGGTGAGGTATTTAAAGATGTTCGATTTTAAGCTCTTGTCCAAAGACTTAGATACAAAGTATGGCATAAGAAAGTTAAAAGGTAATTGACTGATGATGGGTGATTTTGAAGTAGGTTCGACAATAATTTTATTTATATTGGTGATAAAAAATACAATACTACTTCTGGTCTTTTGAAATTATTATTTATAAATTCACCTGATCAATCAAAAATAACAAAAGAAGATGAAAACATTTATGGCAGAATTATCAGTATGACAAGCGCCTATCGGAAGCATTATCTTCCCGACTAAAGTATCAGAGTGGATAAGAATTAAAAAAAATTTGACGACATAATCAGTAAATAGATACCAAAAAGTGGGAAAAGTTTACCACGGTATATGATTAAACATAAACAAAATCATACTATCCACTATATTTATTAGGATGATCCCAATGAACTTGTAGATCGACTTCGTTTACTTACTGCATCTCAAACTCCTAGGAATTTCAGTCATACTAACGAAATTTTATCAATTTTAGAGGAATTACGCGAAGCTTGAATTATTTATTAATCTGATGTATTCTACACAGCTACTTATTCTTCAAAGAACTTTTGGAGTGAGAGGTTCGAAAATGAGTGCTGACGTTTTTGGACGACAATTAGCGAAAGATATTGTGAAAAGTGCTGTTCGTGGGCCTCCTGGTGAAGGATTTAAATTAACTGTGGATCAACAGTTTGACATGGATAATAAGAGATTGTGTAATCTCGCTGAACCAGTAGATTTGAATGATGCAACATCATTAGGAGTAATTGAAGAAAAGATTACAATTTGAAAAAAATTTATTGGAATAGAATTACGTCTGTTACGGGAAACTGTAGTAAATTTAAGAAGAATTGTTGAAGAAAATAGAGAAAGAATCAAAATCATTAATGTTCATGTAGAGCAACATATTGAATCATCACAAGAACATCGTAAACGTCTGAAAGAAGAATTGAATGAAACAATTGAACTGCATGAGTCAGATCGATTACGTTTACTGAAAAAAGCAAATCGTAAACGAGCTGAAAGTATTAAACAATCGGAAGAAAATATTCGGAAATATCTTGATCAGCAGCATCATGAACAAGGAGAAAAAAATAATAACTGAAGAGCTGCATAGACCCGTCCGAAGAAATTATCAACGACGACATGTTGATCTACGTGGGCTTGATGAAACTTTGCAAGCTGATCTAGTTGACATGACAGCATATAAATCTTATAATAAAGGTCATCAGTATTTACTGACTATTATTGATATTTTTTCAAAAAAACGCTTGGGCTGTGCTCACAAAATCTAAAAATGGTAAAGATGTAGCCCATGCAATGAAATCGATTCTATCACAAAAAAGAGTGCCAAAATTTTTGCATGTTAATAGAGGAAAAGAATTTTACAATAAAGAATTTGAAGCACTTATGAAACAATATAATATCAAAATGTATTCCACATTTAGTAATCTTAAGGCATCTATATGTGAACGATTTAATCGCACGTTAAAAAGTCAAATGTGGAAACAATTTACGTTGCGAGGTAATTACCAGTGGATAGACATCTTACCAAAATTGATGACATCATATAACAATAGCAAACATAGAACCATCAAAATAAAACCGATTGATGTTACTTCAGCCAATGAGAAACAATTACGTCATACTATCTACAATAATAAACTTGAAGTTCAACAAAAAATAAAAAAGACTAAATTTAAGGTTGGGGACAAAGTACGCATAAGTGAATATAAGCACGTCTTTGAGAAGGGATACACCCCTAATTGGATAACTGAAATCTTTAATGTGAGTCAAGTATTGAATACTGATCCAGTAACCTACAAGCTTGTCGACTATCAAGATCAACCGATTGAAGGAGGTTTTTATCAAGAAGAATTGACTAAGGTTCAATACCCTGATATTTATTTGGTAGAAAAAGTTCTGAAAAAACGTGGTAATTAAGCTTTTGTCAAGTGGTTGGGATTCGATGAAACACTCAATAGCTGGATTAACATAAAAGATTTATGATGTCTCTAACCGATGAGTTAGAAACAATGACTGCCAAAATGTCTTTAGCTGAAGAGCTAGAAACAATGGCTGACAAAATGTATAGTGATGCTCAAAAATTACCACGTTATACAAAAGATAAAGCTGCTAATATTAAATGGATATCTTTAACTCATAAAGAACAACAACAAATTAAAAGAGAAAAAAAAAAAATTAAACGTCTTGAGAAAATCAATAAACGAATGTTAAAAGAAATTAAAAAAAATAAGACCAATAGAATTTTGTTTTGTCAGGTAGTTGTCGTTCGTCAAGTTTTTCCCAACTGTCAATACATTCATATGGGAAAACTCCTTTACGAGTTACTAACTGAAATTTATCTGGCTCGGGATAGAAACTTTTGGTAATTGATTTTGCGTTATTATCCAAAAATGATGCAAGTTTCTCAATACTATTGCTCATGAATCGGAAAGAATCAATAAACCATAATTTAACAAATATTTCTTTTTTTCTTTTTTTCGTGGGAAATTTTCTGATCAACTGTTTTTGTAAATGCTATGTATTTTTCTTTATTGACAGGTAATAATTCCATATAACCTTTAAATGATGCAGCTAATGATTTAATAAAAAAATTTGAGTCATATCCTGAGAGGTTATGAAAAATGACTGGAATTATGCATGAATTTTGATCATTTAAATTACAATTAACATGAGCAGCGCCTCGATAATTGCCTGTAAAGTGACAGTGATCGTGTACTTTCGTTTCATCATGTAAAAATGATTTATTACAAATGTGACAGATTTTTGCATTATGAAAATCGTTTAACTGTTGGGATGTTAATGGTTTCATTGGTACTACGTTTTCTAGGTAAGTTTTGACAGTTTCAGCTATTTTTTTGGACTCAGTCATGAACCAGTTTATACAATTAACGTCACGTTTAAGATTAAATCGACATTTTGAATTGTCATATGTACAGTGCATATAATAGGCTACACTACATGGAATATGCTTTTGATTACCTTCATTATCAGGTTCAAGAATACTCTCAAGATCGGCATAGATAGCAAATGGCACAGGCTCTTTAAAATGAAAATTTTTGAATTTTATTTTAACACCTTTTTCCGGAACTGAAATTCGCGTATCGTTCATATTGATACAATCTTTTTGATGATTTTTATATGACTTTTCTATCTTAGAGTGATTTAAACATCTATCACATAAGAATAGTTTGTGTGCATTTTTAGAAATTTGATTTCCAACTAATCTTGAAAGATCCTTTATCAGACAAAAATAAAAAACTAGATTAATATTATTATTTTCATCACCTACTTCTACTCTACTTTGTACCATTAACAGGTGAATACATGGCTCATCTACTTTATAATATTTACTTAAATATAACGGAATAATTTCACAATTATTATCTAAACCATACGTACAGTCATCTAAACCATACACATTTATTGCTAAATCGTTGAGTTTTTCAAATTTTGGAACATCATGTAAGGTTGTGGGACAGTTGATACCCTCACATTTTAACACACTTTTGTAATCAGGATATGAACTTGTTCTTGTTGAATTTACAAAAACAGGATAAAGAGCTGCAGTAACAGCCCAAAAGAAACAACATTGATCGTTGTTTTTAATATTTAGTACTGCTTTTTTTTGTTGTATAAATTTTGGTAGAGGTATAAATGTAGATTGTCCAGCTAATAAAGGTTGATAACGATTAATATTGACTTGCAGATATTCAATTTCTACAAGTGACCAACCAAAATCTCGTTCTTGAAAATCCTCGACTTTTGTTAGTAGTTTGTCAACAACATTTTCCAGAAAATGTTTTTTTATGTCTGTTGACGGCAAAATTGCTTCATTTTTAACATTAAACTACTTAATTCCTACAACTGTTCCATTATTTGTTTGATTACTGAATTTACAAGCAAGGACAAAGTTCACTTCTAAATTTCCCTCACTTGTTACTATATCTGTCAACTTTTCGGTAATTAGCTTTTCAGCGTCCAATAAGACGTCTCGTAAATTTAAATGTTGCAAGTTAATGACAACACCAGTGCGAATTCGATTTTGGAAAATATTTTCTAAATCTTTCCATCGAATCAATTGTTCTGTTGATTGAAGGCTTCCTCCAACGATTGAATGATTTATAAACTTTTCATGTAATGTTGCGAGTGCTGCAATTATCGATTGAATTCGTTGTTTTTCACCAACCGATAAACCACTCGATTGCAAATGTCTGTTCAATGCAGTAATATTGTCACTACTAATTCGCATCCACTTATCAATGATTTCACTAGATTCATGATTCAAAGATGGTAGAAGAGTGTAAGCCTCCTCCATCATTTTAATTAAATCAGAATAATAGTTTAATGCACGCATTTCTTTCGACTATACTAGACAAACTTCAGAATTACAATGATGAAAAAGCGAATTTGAAAAGATTTATATAGGATTTTGGATGACCTTGTAATGTGGTGCCATAATCCGAAAAAATTTCTTGAAAGTTCGAGAATATCAATTACCAAATTTAACCGTTATTGACTAACGATTTTCTTAAAATGTAGAGAGGATAAATATTTAAATCAAAAGAACAATAATTTAAAATTTTTTTTTTTTTTCTATTTATTGTATTCATTATTCTTGTAACATGAAAATTTTTTTTTTTTTTTTTAGATTACATTGATTATCGTAAGATTTACATTTTATCAATTGTATCCATTATATTTTTTTTGTTTGACTTTGATTTATTTTCGATTAAATTTCATCATCAACTATGAATTCAAAAGAATTGTTAGCTCCACCATGGTACAACAATGATAATCTGTTGTCAACGGCCAACTCAACCAATTTTCCAAATTCTTTATGATTTTCCAAAATTTTTACCGTTCTTGGAGGTAAAAATATCATGTAGCTATTTTTAACTGTTGCCACAACTGTTGTTCCATACACAGTTTCAAGTTCTTTTAAACCAGTAATTTTATACGTTTTAGACGGTTTTAATGTATCCATCTTTTTGGTTGGTAAGTACGTCTCACACTTGGCAATTTTATTTACTCTAGATAGATCCATTTTTACTGTTTTGAATTATGTATAACAATGTATTTCTCACAGTTTCAATTGATCAGTGATTTTAAACATGAGTTGCATGGGTATAAATACAATTCATCCCCTCCAAAACAAAGATTCCAGAATGTTTCAATTTTTGATGCAATCATAAATTAAAACATGCATAAAAAAAAACGTTTGCATAATGTTTCATCATCATCCCCCGCTGAAAACTTCCAGAACATGTCAAGGCTGTGAATCAGCCCTGAGATCATTTAAATTCTTGCTTGATTTTCCAAGAAAAAATCGAATGCATAATGTTGCATCATCATTCTCGCTGAAAATTTCCAAAATATATCAAGGCTGTGAATCATCCCTGAGATCATTTAAATTTTTGCTTGATTTTTCAAGAAAAAATCTTGAGGGGTTGGCATGATGTTTCATCATGGTTCTTGCTGAAAATTTCAGACTATCGAAAATTACATGCAATGAAAAAAAATATAATTTCATAGACAATCGTTGTAGTGATCAAACAATAAAATTAGATGTTATAATTTTAAAGTGGGGATAAACATATAAATAGATGATTTACCAAAAAACTTTTCAGTTGGGTTTTACATTTTGGCATGTATACAAATTTTTGAGCGCATCATGGAAATGATATTGGATGTTCAAGGTTTCAAGCAGCTAAATAATCAGTTTTTAGTGAAAGAATTGGCGACTATTACAATCCAAGATAATAGTGATGGTATGGAAGACATTTCAGTGATAATCATTAAACCGCCATATCAGTGGGAATATTTACCTGAAAAATATGAATGCATAAATTCGTGGTTGATACGTAATTATCATCGCATTCCATGGAAATCTGGAACAATACCATATGATAAACTCCCATACATTCTTCGTGTACTTGTTAAAGATCGAGACCGTATTTACGTGAAAGGAGATGAAAAGAAAGAAAAATTAGAAAGTTTAATTGACAACTCAAAAGTTGTAATTAATTTGGATGAGCTTGGATGTCCTTCGCTACATGTTCTAGATATGAATCATCTAAGAGATTGTGGGGTGCATAATAGAGAAAATAAAAAATGTGCAGAAAAGAATGTAAAAATTCTAAAAGCATGGTATATGGTGAATTTTCATGGAAAAACCCCATTTGAGAAGTCATTCAAATTGTATTGTTTATTAAAAAATATAACAAAAATGTCAAGTGAAGATATTGCTTGTCTTCCAAAGTATTTTTTCTTGAAGATTGTTCCAGAATACATCGACGATATTCAGGATAAATTACCGGAACATTTACAACTCGATAGAGATATCTTATTGCATCGTAAATGTTACAAACATTACATGTCATTAGATCATACAAGAACATTGAGAATTAATTGTATTGATTGTAAAAAAGAAGAATTCATTCATTCAAATACATAAAATGAAAATGTATAATTTTTATTTCTTAAATAAAAATTCTTTCTCAAGATAAAAATCTTATTATTATTGTTAAAGGAGTCATTAACGTAAATAATTATAAATCATAGTTCAGAAAATATAAAATGAGAAAAGATAATAATTTTTCGTTTCAATAATTTTTTTACATTTAAAATACGTTTAGTTATGATTGCTCATACAGTTAATAAAATATTTCAATTGATTATTCATAATATATATTATGTCGTACTTAAATAAGTAACAGAGAATAAGAGTATAAACAAAGTGAAAAAGAGATAAATGTGAGGAAAAAATGATGGAGTCGACTAACTGAGTCAAACGTTAACGTTTCTAAATAAAATAAAATAAGTCGATTATCTTTCGACACATGGCCCTTTCAACTCTTGCATAGATCACAGCTTCTTAGCGCAAAATAAAAGTACAGACAAAGTGAGGAAGCGGTGGCGGAGCGAGGAAAAGAAGATAGCAGAGGCATGAGCGACAAAGAAAATACGTTTAATTAAAAATCCAATCGAAAAAATATGTGTCTAAAATTATTTATCCATGGTAGAGATCGTTTACAAACTATTTTAATAATTAAAAAGAAAAAAAATGTCATTTATAAATTTTTTTTAGTGAGAATTTTTTCTTGTTGTCAAATTCTTTTCTTTATCTGTAATTTGATGCTGAGTGATGTGATCAAGGCCTCTCTATATAGATTTAAATCAATATCGTTCAATGATTTTATCACCATTGGCCTCTTTGAAAAATATAAACATTTAGCCATGGTGTATGATGCATAGGACAAAATATATAGTTCATTCCCGACAGTGAAACTGATCAAACCATACCAAGTCATTAGTGACTTTTTCTTCATTCAAGTATAAAAAGTGTGTTTTTTTTTTTTTTTAATTTTTATGCATTAATATAATTATTTATTGAGGATAATTGCTAATTTCATGAATTGTTAAATGATTATTTATCAAATAGGGAGTTTTTTTTTTTTTTTTTAAGTTTAAAGAAAATCTATCATAATCGTTATTACTTTTTTGAAAAAGATGTGTACTTTTATTTTTCCGGAGGCCTGGTTCGATCTACCGATCACCCTCCTAGAAATTATTATTCTAATAACTCTTGAAGATCATTGGGAAGAGACGGGAGGGATAGAAGGCGCTACCCTTACACTTTGTGGCTACCTGCCTAACGTTCCCCGGTAACGTCACACGGTTCCGGATAGAAAGAAACATCTCCGTCGTGCCACCACCTCTAAGCCAGGAAATCATCACTGTCGAAGACAGTGATAGTGAGGTAGAAGTTCTACCTCCTTCTCCAGCGACTGTGTCATCGGAGGATAGTGAGGTAGAATTTCTACCTCCTTCACCTCCAACAATTGATGACGATGATAATTATGATGATGATGATTCCACTGACTATGATGATGGTTATGATACTGTAAGTCTTGTTTTATGATTAGTTTTCTAGTTTTACTTATATGAAAATAATTTTGATTACGACAGGTAGAATAATGCTACTTGGGAACCATCACTCAAGGGATCATTATTTTTTTATAAAAAAGAAAAAATATATTATAATTTTTTTTTTAATAAAGAAAAATTGACTTGAAAGAGGAATCGTTTTTACTCTAAAACCTTTTCCCAATCATCTTACATCCTTGAGACACATTACCGCCATTTTTTTTCTACGGTTATTTTGCTGATAATTATAATATTATCGCTGAAGATAATTCATCACCAATCAGGATCGGTAAAAAAAAAAATCGCTGCCAATAATTTATCAGTGTCGATAACTTATCACGGTCGGTAATTTATCGTCAAAGTTATCGCGGTCAGTAATTAGTGCAGATCAGAACCCACTTTTTTGACTTGGCCGGTATTGCAGAGTGATCCAGAACCGGCCCTGCTTATCTACTAATTTCACTTATTATTCTAATTGTTTATTCACTTCGATTAATTACTACAATAAACAACAACTGTCATTTTATATTCCAATTCATTATTTCGCACGTGTGTCACTAACTATGACGCTACGAGCGCCTTAACTTCGATCTGCTTACTAAACTCGATTTACAATCGCATTTAGTAAGGCCTTAACTGCAGTTAAGCAACTGATGTAAAGGCTGTTTAAGCGCAATAACATCGATGTTTGCGTTTTTTTTATTGTGCCAAATAAAAAAAAGCAATTAAAAAAAATTGAAAAAGGTAAAAAACAAATAAACCTAGTAGGACTCGAACCTAATACCATAGGTTCCGTAGGGCTAGCGCGCTGCCCTTGAGCTATATCGTCATCGTAAGGAAATTTTTATAAGTCTTACTTAAAGTGCGAGTGGGGCTCCGCTTGCCCACGGAAGAAAAGGGACTTTAAGGCGGAATGGTGGGGATCTCCGATACGGAAGGAAGAAGAAAAGAAGAGAAATATAATTTCTTTCTCACTTGCACTCGCAGGAGCAATAAAGAGCTCCTCGAATATACCTAGGGAGCACTTGGGAGTTAGAAGAGTTGAGTTTGCCCAGCTTTGTTTCAAACGGGAAAAATTGGGAAATTTTTATTCCTCCCAAATAAAACCTCGATGAACGCTCGCATATCTCGATATTATTTTCAAAGTTCTACTCTGCCTGAATATTAGGTGGAAAAAATCCGAAAATTAGTACACGTTTTTATATATACTGATCGATAGAGAATTTAATTCTCTATCGATGGAACATAACTTGTTTTTTAATTTCATTGTAAATTTTCATATGCAAAAAATTGCTAAATGCTTCGTTAACTATAAAATTAATTTTTAAACTATTTTTAGAAAATTTCTTGAAATTTATATACTGATATATAAATCAAAGCAATGAATTCAATCGATAATTTTGAGTTGTAACTTTCCAAGAATCTCGG